TGTGCAATGGGTTTGATTTGGTTTTTATACAAGGAGCTTGGACTGTGTTGGACTGTCTCTTGTAGGCCATGGTTAGCCCTTGAAGAGTGTTTCAGTGGGTGAGGGGCGTGGCCGGGGCTGTGTTCTAGATGGAGCACTCTGGAGATGGTGGTGCTGAGAAAAGATGTTGAAGGGAGCAAAACCAAAGGCAGAGAGGCCTGTTTGGAGACTGCTTATACTGACCAAAAGTGGCGAGGTCAAGGCAAAAGCATAGGTGTGGAGTAGAAGAGAGGGGAAAGTTTTGGAAGTTGACTCTACAAGCCAGAGTGGTGGGATGTGGGTAGGAATGAAGGGGTGAATGCTGGCTGCCCAGATCTAGCTTGGAGGCTCAGCGGATGGTTTTGTTGGGGGCTTGGTGGGGTGGACAGGGGCATAAGGTGGGAGATGAGTTCGGTTCTGCCTTTAGAGCTTGACCGGTGGCCATTTCACATGATCTTCTTGGGCACTTCGTCCTCTCCATAGCCTGCAATGAGGATTGATCTGGGGTATGATTAAGAGTGTGGGCGCTGGATCCAAACGGGCCCAGATCTGATCACAGCTCCACCACTCCCACAAGGGAAAGTGCAAACTACTCAGCCTCCTCCTTTTCTAAATGGTAATAATAACAACCAAGCAACAATAGCTTCCTCAGAGGGTTGTCAAGAGGTTAAATGAGATAATGCATGTAAACTTCTCTGCACAGGGTAAGCACTTTGTGAACACTGGTTATTATTGTTATTGGTAAAGGCAAACCTGACTTCAGGGGCTGTTTGGCCCTGGTGGGCTTCAGCTCTCCTGTAAGTGCCCCCATGTACACATACCCCCCCAACACACACACACAAGCGTGCGTGCGCGCGCGCGCGCGCACACACACACACACACACGCGTGCGGCAGAAAAGGAACAAGAGCTGCCTTCCTGCTCCTAACCCTGGAAAGCAGGCCCTTTCCTCTGGCCTTGCTCCTGCTGGGCCATTTATGATGCGAAGCTTTTCTGAGCCCCAGCAGGCCAGGGGCCCAGCTGGTGGAAGGATGTGAACGGAGTGCTCTGAGTGACACCCTGGGAGAAGGGTGACCGACCACCAGCCATAGACCAGGGCAGGCTTTTGAGTGACATGAGGAAAAATGCCCTGTGTCTGTCATGCAGTATGGAAGAAGCCCAGACTGTGGACCTAGAAGGCAAGTGTT